TCTGGGCACCTGGTGGCAGACTGTCCATGGCCTATGCTCACAGAGCAGCTCAACAGACCCCAAGCGAGTATGGCTGCTGTCCAGGGATTGGAGACACATCCTCCATCTGGGTAGAAGAGCCCCCTCGTCTGTAAAGCACCCAGCATCTCTCACCTAGGCTGCACTGGCAGCCTGGGTCCCCAGTTCTTCACCTTACCAGGTGGGTGGGGCACAGGTCCCTTCTTCGGGAGACCTCATGCCCGCGGCCATGCAGCTGGTTTGGAAGTTGCTACTTCACATCCAGGCAAGAAGCAGCTCTACTCAAGAGCAGAGAGAGCAAGTGGCCCTCGTAGCTCCATGGCCTTCCCACACCAGCCCAGTCTGTGGCACAAAGGCCTTCACTGAGGCAAAGTTGGGGTCTCCTGCTTTCCACTAACGGGAGGCTGACGGGGTCCCGCACTGCTCCTGTCTGTTACTTCTAGATAACAGGCTGTGCTCGGCTTTGGATTTTTTTCTTAGTCTATCTTGATATTGTCACTATCCTGCAGTACAGGTGTTATCCACCCACAGGGCACCTGTACGTTGCTGGACTGGGTCAGGGCTGTCCTATCTAGCTCCACACGGAGGACTAACACCCTTGCCGGCGAGTGCCACTGTACCTGTTAGGCCCAATAACATGGCTCATTGGCGTTTCCGGGGTGCTGGGGAGGAGGCGGGGTCTGGGTGATGACTCCTGTCAGTTCCCCATTGTCAGCCCGATCTCACGTTTCTCCACACTCACAATATTTCCCCACTGGGAACGCGTCTGACATTGCAATTTCTCAAAACTGCAGCTCTGCAGTGAGTGTCTAATTCCTGAAACTGCAAAATCTAACAAAAGCTGATTTTTTCCACTGATTTGACTGGCTGACTATTTCCAGGCTTTGCGGTGGTGACCCGCCACTACTCACACCGCGTGTCTCCTGCACCCACGGTGCTCCCAAGTGGCCTGCAGCGATTAAATTCTCCAGCTGCCTGGCGCGTTCAGAACCGCCCAGTATCCGGCAGATCTGGAGGGCAGGTCGCTGGCCGCCGGCCCGCGGGGCCCTGGGCCCAGGATCTGAACTCAGACCCAGGCGCCCCAGCCCCACGAGGCGCCGCGGCCCTGCGCTCGGCCCTGCGCGCTGAGTGTTAAAGCTGTGCCTTGCGCCCTGTGCTGGGTGCCCTGCGCTTGGTGCCCTGTGCTGGGTGTCCTGTGCCCTGTGCTCTGCTCTGTGCCCTGCGCTCGGTGCCCTGCGTCCTTTGCCCTGAGTCCCCTGCCGGTGGCGACGCTTCAGGTCTGCGGGGCAAGTGTGGCCCTCCCGTGCGTCTCCGGACTTTCTCTCCACGCCCCACTACCGCCGCTGGGGTTTGCGCCCAGCACGGGTTCCTCCCGGTCCCAGTGCGGGTCTCGGCCTGCGCCTCGCCCGGCCTCGACACCCCCCTCCCCCCGCCGGCGCTCCGGGCCGGCCTGGTCTCCGATTGTTGGCGGCTGCCCGAGGAAGCTGAAGAAAGTTGAGGAGCCGGGCCTCCGGGTCCCGGGGCTTCCGGCAGCCCCGCACCCCGCCCGCGCCCACGTGTTGCGGCCCGGGACCCCGAGGCCCTCAGTCCTCTGCCAGGCCCGGCCTCCGTCCCGACCCTACCCCGGGCGGGTGCGGGAGGGGAGGAGGGACGGCCCGCACCGCCCACCCAGGAGGGGGGGTCCCAGGTCCCTGAGACAAAGGAGGCCGGCGGGAGTGGGGGCGGGGAGGGGCGGGACGGGGGAGGGGGCAGCGGGGGAAAACCTCCGGGGCTGGACGGTCGAGAGCGAGGGAGGGGAGCGGGAGGGCGGGGAGCGAGAGGGCGGGGAGGGCGGGCTGGGAGCGGCCGCCGGAGGCCGCGCGCCGCTGGGAGTGGGGGGGGGGGGCGGAGAGGAGGCGGCGGCGCGGCGGTCCGCGGGACCCCCGCTTCCGGGACCCCGCCCTCCTCCTCCCCGGCGGGCCAGGCCTCTCGGCCCCGCCATACAGTCCCACGGAGTAAGGGCCGCTAACTCTGCTTTTCTCCAGAAGTTTCCAAGAACCGAACTGAGCAGATTCTGCGGCTGGGGAGGCCGGGCGGAGGGGAAGCGGGAGGGGCCGGGCCGGGGACCCGGGCTGAGGTGGAGCGGGGCAGCCCGGGCCCTCCCCTGTCCACCCCGGGCTCTTTTTTGGACTGCACTGGAAATTTCCGGAGACCGACGCGCGCGGCCCAGTCGTGTCGGAAAACGCCGCGGTGAACCTGGGGTTGTCCCCTCCCGCCAGCCTCGCGCCCCGCGCACCCGCGGATGGGGCCGTGGGAGGGGGTTGCGGCTCTCCTGAAAGTTAGCTCGTGTCACTAGGCTGCCGAGGGCTTCCCGGTGGCCGAGGACCTCCTGACCGGCCAAACGCCGGGCCGGGGAGCGGAAAAGTGAGAGGAAACCCGGAAGGCCGGAGGGGGACGGCGGGGAGAGGGCTAGGAGAGGGGACGGGAGGGGAGGACGCCTCCCCCTACCCCACGGAGTGGAAGGCCCCAGCGCGCGGCGCGTTAGGGAAACCCCCAGGCCCCGGCCGGCTCCCTGGGGAGCGCGGGGTCGGCCCCGCAGCCGGGCCCGCGGCGGGCGCCCAACCGGTCGGCGGAGCCCCGCGCGACGGCCCAGGCCGCGGAGGAGCCCGCCAGCCCTCTCCCCAGTGGTTTATGAACAGAGGACGCGCACCTCCCGGCGCTCTGACCCGCTGGACAGACGGGGCCGGGTCTCGGGCGCCGAGGGCTGGCGGCCCTGCCGGGCCAGGCCGGGGCCCGGCCGCGAGGACGCTCCCGGCCCGGCACCGCGCGCCAGGCGCGGGCCCGAGGATCCTGCCTAGTTGCCGCTCTTAAGGGCGGAGGTGCCCAGGACGGGGCACAGCCACGGCCGCCGGATTCCGGGAAGCCAGGGCGGAGAGACGAGGAGATGGAGTCAGCCGGGGGCCTTCCCGGCGGTGCAGTCCAGGGAGCGAACGGCCCGGCCCCGGAGGCTCTCCTCCCACCGGCAGAGTGAAGTTCTCCAGGACTGCCGGACCCCCACCCCACACCTCGGCCTGCCCGCCCCCCCACCCCCGTCCGGCCGGGCACCGGCTCCCAGCCCCTCTGCCCCCTCTGCGCTCCCCCCCCCCCAGCAAGCCAAAGGCCAGAAAACAGAGAAACAACTGTTATCCCCCCCAAAACCGCCAAATCCCTGAAAGAAATAAAAAGGGGCTTTAAAAAATACCTTGTTAGAAAGCAGACATTATTTTTTATTCTTGGTTTCTGGAACCTCTTTAACGAATGACTTACACAAAATTATCAAAATGACTTTGAAAGTTCGCTGATGTGAACGGTCAGATTAACATTCTACTCAAAGCTGCCTTGAGATGCAGGCGGGCTGGCTTCCGTTTTTACCAAATGAACTAGCTAGGCTCACTTCTGAATGGATGGACAGCCACACTCATTCCAAAACAAGAAAAGATACTGGAGAAAAAAGAAAAAGAGAAACGAGTCCCAAGGCTGCTAAAAATGGGGTGTTTCCATTTGGATTGAAAAGTACTTTTTTCCCTTCAAAAAGTAAGAATTTCATTTTAGCATTATAATTTCAAAATGTAGTGCTGCAGGATAGCTTTCCAATGCAACATTTAATGCTGTTGGATTACTTGAAGACAAAGTTTTACAGAAAACTTTAAAGTCCAGAAAAACTGCAGTAGCCCAAGAAACACTTAGAAAAAAATATAATTTAAAAATGTAAAGCATCAAACACTCTCAAGACCTTGCCTGGAACGGAGTGCGACCGTGTGCGTTCACATGGGTTGGCCACTGGCAACCTCGTTCACCAGGGAAGGTGGTGGGCGATTTGTGTGAGTCACAACCTGCATTATCTTGCACTGTCCCAAGGAGGGAGGGGCTGGGGACATGGGGAGGATGTGTGGTGGCCTTGCATTTTGGTTCAGCAATTGCTTTCTAGAGTCGGATGCCGAGAAATCCCGCTTGCAATCCTACTTGCCCGGGAACGAAGCAGCCTTTCCCTGGAAGTGGTCTTTGTCCCGTCTTTGGCCTGGTCCCCACCGCCACTGAGTAATCCAAGTCCCGCTTCGGGACCGAGAAGCCTGGAAGACGGCCGGTCCACCCGGCAGAGGGAACTAGCCACGGCCAGAGAAGGCAAAATGTACCATTCCTAGGGCAGCCCCGGAGCGCTAGGCTGGGCGGAGACGGTCGCGTAGTTCTTGTTCTGGATGAACACTTGGGTTCTACACAATGACCTGCGGGTTTTTAACTATCTCCCCTCCCTTTGGAGAAAGCTCACGACAACCCCGCCGCTCACCCCCTCTCGGGACTGGCCGTCCCTTATCCTGCAGTGAACTGCTGGATCGTATGTCGGACTCATAAAACATGCACACAGAATTAGCCCGTCTCGACCCGATGAGAAAACGGCCTTGCTTTTTCCTCTCAAATTTATTGACCGATACGCATGTTTAGAGGGCATCTGTTCTCTCGTTTTGATGAAAGGCTCGTAGGAAACTATGTACATCGTCTGGCTCCTCCCCGCACCGCCTAAAATAAAGATTTCACAACGCATTTACAAGAAACAATACAAAAACCAAATGAAAAAAGAGGGAATGCTCAGATACAGAAGTTTTACAAAACCCAGAATAGAGCTCTGCCGTGGGGGGGGGGGGGGGGCTCTGTATAAATTAACAAACCAACCCAGAAGAGCAGCGAGGATTACGGGACGGGAGTGTCCGGGTGTCCGCGGTGCCCCGCGAGCGGCGAGCGGGGCGACCGGGCCGAGCCCGCGGGAGCGCGGTGGGGAGGCAAGTCTGCGCCCCGGCCTGGGTACAAAAGTTGGCGCGGCCGCGCCCGGGCCGTCCTTCTGGTCTCCTCCCGCGTCGGCTCCGCGGACGATAAATACTGTACAGGCGTCTCTGGAGAGCCGGCCACGGGCCAGTCCGCGCCACCCCCCGCGGGCGGGGCCGTGGGTCCGGGCCCCCCGCGTCCCCGCCGGGCGCTAGATGTGCGTCAGGGGCACCGTGCCGTTCACGCCCGCGCCCGCGCCCTGGTAGTGCTGCGGCAGCGAATGCAGCCGGCTCTGCGCCGCCGCCGCCGCCGGGTCGCCGCCCTCGCCCGCCGGCAGGTACATGCTGATCATTTCCCGCAGGTCCCCGGGGCACGGCGCCCGCGAGTGCGCCGCGGCGGGCGGGCTGCCGCTCGGTTCTGACTTCACCAGCGAGCCCAGCGCGCCCAGCGCGCCCGACGACGCGGCCGCCGCCGCCGCCGCCGCCGCCACCGCCGAGTTCTGGTGCGCGCCGCCCGCGGCGGCGGCGGCGGCGGCAGCGGCGGCCCCGTAGGGGAGGCCGCCGTAGCCCGAGGGCGACGCGCTCATGTAGCCCTGCGAGTTGGAGATGGGGCTGTACTGCAGCGCGCCCATGTCGTAGCGGTGCATCGGCTGCGGGTTGTGCGGGTGCGCGTGCGGGTGGTGCGCGTGCGGATGCGCCGGATGCGCGTGCGGGTGCGCGCCGCCCGCGCCCGGGTGCTGCCCATAGGCCAGCTGCGCCTCCTGCATCATGGCCGCGGCCGCTGCGGCGGCGGCCACTGAGCCCGGGTAGGCGCCGTTGGCCCAACCGTTGACGTGCGCGTAGCCGCCGCCCGCCGCGCCGCCCGGGCTCTCCAGGCGCTGGCCCACGGCCGCGGAGCCCACGCCGACGCCCATGGCTACGGCTGCGCCGCCGCCGCCCGCGCCCGCCGCCAGCAGCCCGCCGGCCAGCGAGTACTTGTCCTTCTTGAGCAGCGTCTTGGTCTTGCGGCGCGGCCGGTACTTGTAATCCGGGTGCTCCTTCATGTGCAGCGCGCGCAGCCGCTTGGCCTCGTCGATGAACGGCCGCTTCTCCGCCTCGGACATGACCTTCCACTCCGCACCCAGGCGCTTGCTGATCTCCGAGTTGTGCATCTTGGGGTTCTCCTGGGCCATCTTACGCCGCTGCCCGCGCGACCACACCATGAAGGCGTTCATGGGCCGCTTGACCCGGTCCTGGCCGGCCTTCGCGCCCCCGCCGCCGCCTCCACCGCCGCCGCCCGCCCCGGCCGGGCCCGAGAGGTTCGTGGGGGCCTGGGCGCCGCCGCCGCCGCCAGGCGAGTGCAGGTCGGTCTCCATCATCATGCTGTACATCGAGGCGGCTCACGGGTTCACCGGCTCCGCGCGGGGAGGGCCCGGGGCACAGACGGCCGGGCGCACAGAGGGCGAGCGGGGCTCGAACCCAGCGCGACGCGGGAGGGGGATGGAGTCTCGCGGAGAGAAGGGCGGCGGGGGGAGGGCAACGACAACAAAAAAGAGGCCGCAATACTCGCACTCAGCGCCGGTCCGCCGGGCGGCTGCCAAGTTTCCCCGCGTGCACACACCGTCAGTCCCGGGGCCGCCGGCCGGGCTCGCTGCCGCCGCCCGCTCGCGTTCGGCCGGGCGGGGCAAACAGGTGCAGCCGAAGCCAAGTTGCTCCACTTTTCAGGCCGGGTCCGGGGCTCGCCGCCGCCTCCTCGCCGGCCGCCGCCGTTTCCCTCCGGTGCTGGATCCTCCGCGGCCTCCAATTCGGGGGGCTGCAACTTCTAGCGGGGCGGCACGCCGCGTGCGCCGGGCATGTGCGGGTCCCCGGTGCCGGGGAGGGGGGAGCCTGGGCTCGGCAGCGGAGTCGGGGGGGGGAGGGCACGGAGGGGGCGATCCCGGGGCCGCCGAGGGCGGGGGTCACAGACAGCCGAGAGAGAGAGAGCGCGCCGAGAGCGCCGGAGAGCCGAGCCGCAGGGCCCGGCGCGGGCTGTCCGCTGCCTGCCCGGGGCGGTGCGCTCGGAGCGGAGGCGCACGAGGGGCCGGCGGCGCGCGGGGCCCAGCAGCCATACGCCGGGCCCGGGCTGCCATTAAATGAGCGCGCCGCGGCCAATGGGAGCCGGCGGCGGCGGTGATTTGCATGGCGCGCTGGCGAGTGACGTGGGGAGGGAGTAGATGCCGTGGGCGCGGGCGGCGGGAGGGAGGGCAGGAAGGGGGGGAGCGAGGGCGGGAAGGAGGGGGACGGAGGGCCGGGAGGGGGACGGAGGTTGGGGGGTGGGGGGGGCACAGCCGCGGCGCTTCCTGGGCGCGCGCCGCCGGCCTCCCTCCCCGCGCGCCCCCCGCCCGCGTGCCCGGCGCTCCGGAGTTGGTTTCTGCCTAGGGGAGGATAGCGTCGCTCCGGGGCGGGGAAGAGGGGCGGGCAGGGGGAGACGCCGCCGTCCCGGCTCTGGTTTAAACGAAACCCGGCTCCTCCTCTGTCCCCGCCAGCCGGCTGCGCCCTCCGGGAAGGAAAAGTTAGCGGCGGAGGCCTGCACCTTGCTTCCCTGGCCACCCGCGGGCCGGCGCGGAGGCGAGCGCACTCCAGCCCCCGCGGGCTTTCCGCGGAGCACCGAGCAACTCCGCGCCATGCCGCGCGCGGGCGGCCACGCACGCTCCACGCAGCCTTCGCCGCGGCCGGGACGGGATTCTGCGGGCCGGCTCTGGCGGAAGCCGGCGTGGCCCAGGCCCCGCGGGAATCTCGTCGACTGGATGGGGAGGGGAGGGCGCGTCGGTGGCACGTGGGTCACGGCTTGCTTTGCCTTCAGCCCCGGGCTCCGTTCCTTTCCCGGGTCGGCGAATCGAGAGTCAGGGCCGCCCCAGCCTAACTCTTTTTTTGTTTTATTTCTCAGAATGTCAAAAGCAAGCTAGCCCGGCGTCTGCTCACTCCAGCATCTGAAAAAGTTGGTGGCAATCGCCAAAGGGTGACCTGGCCCGCGCTCTTCGGGAGGCCGAGTGGTCCACGGCCGTCTGCCTGAGAACCGCCACGCGGGACGGGCGCGGGCCCACCCAAAACCCGCAGGAGGGCGGGGTCCGGCGCCCGCGGCCTCCCCCCGCCGAGACTCAAAAGAAAGCGCTGGGTACGGTTCCGGCCTCCACCCATGGCTCTAAACCTTCTGCACCCGGGTCTCCAGATGCGCCCTCGAGCACCCGTAGTCAAGGGGAGGGCTTGGCGTGGCGAACCCGCGGGGTCCGCCGGCTAGCTGGAAGTTGCTTCTGGAGTTCCTGTCCCCGTCCGTAGCGCGGGGTCTCCGGGAGGCTGGTGGTAGGTGAAGAAGGCCCAGCCAGTCACCAGACCCATCCACCCGTCCTTCCGTACAAGCAAGCTCAAGTGAGGAGGATGGAGTGGTCATTGTAGAGATGCTCAAATATGCGGGCATGAACACAGGACGTTTACTTTCTATTAAGAAGACCTGAGGTAGTTTTTCTCCCCTGTAATGCTTTGTCCATGGCGCAGGAGTCATGCTTTCCCCCCCTTCTCTCCATCTTACTATGATTATTACCGTAGGGTATTGCTTACAACTATTATTATTATTACTACTACTATTATTGTAGAGCTGTTATAGCATTCATTGGAAAACCAGCAAACCGACCTCTGCGAACTAAACTGCTTTCATTTCAGGTCATTCAACATTTAATAGTAAACTCATCAAATACTATATGGTTACATTAGAAAGGAAACATCATTTCGTGTTTTTTTTTTTTTGCTAAATATCCAGGTTATGAATTCATTTTCAACTACCTCATTTCAGCAATCAAGTTTGTTAAATCTTTTGATTTGTTTCATGCACTACCTACAAATAAAAGTTATATTGTGAATGAACAAAAAGGGAAGGGGAATATCTTTAAGAATGCTATAGATCCTTTTTTCCTTTGATAATTTAGGAGACCATGGGTGTGCAGTGAGAATCCAGTGTGTTAGGGAAGTCAGCAAGACTGAAATAAAGGAAATGGTTTACAAATTATAAACTATATTATCCACTTAGCAATTGAAAGATTTCTTTCCTCTGCTTTTCAATTTAGATTTTAAACTAAATAGCCGAAGACCCCCTGAAAATGCTTTGTATAAATCAGGCCTGGCACATTATTTTCCATATCAATGGAGCAATTTATTTTATAAACACCCTGCACTCCAGTGTGCTTTGCAGGAATGCTTTATGCGTTGGGGAACTTGGATGGCTGACTTTTAAATGGTCTCATTTCCTTCTACCATAGCTTTGGAAATTGTTTCCAAATATGACTTTACTCTTGTTTTCCAGAGCATCTAAGCAGGAGGTAATGGTTCCTCAGTTGCCTGGGATCTGCTAGTGCTGATCATCCAGGGTGCTCTCTACAGCTCTTTTCAGTGAGAAACACTGCCCCCCCCCAACAGCCTGAGAGGGGCCAGCCCTATGGGTGCCCACCCGCATAAGTATAAACCCAGAGCTGCAGGTGTGACTTGTTGCTAGGTGACAGATGATTGACATTGGCAGCGGGTGCCAAGGCAGCAGAGGCAGGGCCCTGTGCACCAGATTCCCTGGTGCCCGGGCCCTGGCTTGAGGGTTGAGAAGCATTACATTACTCCCTGCCAGTGACAGCTTCTGGGAGCCTCCACTTCTTATGCCTTCTCGATATGCTTTTTTTTTTTTTTGAGGGGGGGGGAGCGTGCAAACAGTGTGAGTAGTCCAAAACCAGTTTGGTAGATACTTGTATCTTCTGTCTGCCACCCACTTCCTGTCAGGTTGGAGGGGACAGAGTTCTCTCCTGTACCTCCCCAAAGCAGATTCTCCAGGCCCTGGGACTGATTATTTCCAAGTGATGTCGAAGTCCAGAACCCAAGGCGAAAGGTTCATTTCGCCGCTGACTAGCCACATTTGCTCTCTTGGCAACCTAGAAATTTCACTGTGCCCTGCTCAAGTGATGGAGAGGATCAACTTAGAAGTGTGGCGAAAGATGTTTCTTGGTTTTGCTTTGTTTCCTTATTTAACCTGTGGTCATAGTCCTCAAAGAAAGTGTAGACCCCGGTGTTGGTACAGGAGATAATGCACGTGTGTGTGTGTGTGTGCACGCGTGCATGCACCCCCAAGGAACACTCCAGTCTCTCTTTGCATATGCATATGGTGGATATAAGCACTTCAACCGGCGCCTTTGATTTTCACATAAATTGGGTCCTGGACTGTAAAGTTACGAACTCAACCGGGGGGCACGCTTAGCTCTTCCGTGCCTTCCACCCGTCGGTGGCGCGAAGGTCCCTGTGGTCGAACGTCTTGCCCCTCGCAGCCTTCCCGGGACTGAGCTTTCGGGTGCCGGTTTCTCGGGTTCCAGGCCGGGGCTGCACAGGCCGGAGCTCCCGGGGACGGCTCAGGGAACCCAATGCCCCCGGTCGGCTGGGACTGGCCCTGGCGACCTCCTCAGGGGGACCCGCGCCGCTCCCGACACCCGAACCTGGGCTCCCTGGTGGCCCCGGGCCTGGCAAGGCCCTATGGGGCTTCTGGGGCGCCCCGTTCCCCACTCTGGTCCACCTCAAGGGCTGAGACCACAGTCCTGAAGAGTCGAATCGGGAGTCTTAAGGGGGAACGCGTGTGATTTTTATGGAGGAGGAGCGTGGGGTGAGGACGGCCTCGGGGGTGAACAGTTCAGGGGGTGGAGGCCCCGGGGCGCCTCGGACCTCGGCTGGCGCAGATCTGGTGTGGGGGAGGGAGACGGGGGCGCGCGGGCCGGTGGCCGGGGTCCCAGGACAGGGCCGGAGGTCGGGAGGAGAGGCCGAGGGACCAGGGCCGGAGGTCAGGGGAGGAGAGGCTGCGAGACCAGGACTGGACATGAGGCGGGGGGGGGGGGGGGGGGGAAGAACGGGCGCAGATCGGCGGGAGCAGGCGCCCCGGCTACATCTCCTTACACAGAGGGCTTGGAGCGGGGATGCTGAGGGGCGCGGCCTGGCCAAGCCCCGGGCCCGAGGCCCGCGAGACAGGCCGCGATCGCCGTCTGCTGGCCGCCGCGGCCCAAGCCGGCCTTCGGAGCCGCCTCCGCGGCGCCTCCGCGGCGCCCTTGGCCGGGCCCGCGGCCCGGCGCCCGCCTCGCGTCAGGCCGCCTGCCGCCGTGTCCCCGCGCTCGCGTGCGTGCCTCGGGCCCCGGGCGCCTCCGGCCCCGTCTCCTGAGCCCCAACCCCAGGCTGAGCCTCCTACCCGCCCGTCGGTCCCTGAACACAGCCGCAGGGAAGCCAGGTAATAAAACTTTTGTCGTTGTTGGCCTGTGCGTGTGGGGATCAACTACACAGGTTGGGAGAGAGAGAGTTCTGGGAAGCCCGGCTTTCCAGGGGCGCCTGCGCCCTCGGGAGCCGGCACC